GCGTGCCCTGCGACCAGGACCCGTGGTCTTGGTCCGTCTAAGTACTCCTGAAAGGCCGCTATCAGTGAGCGTCATACGCCCAGGATCCAACCATTGAACATCGTCAGCTCTCATAGCAGTCCAATGTTGCAAAGAAATCACCCAAGCAATGATTCGCGAAAACAAAGAAGCATCCTCGTCCAAAACATGAATCTCTAAAGCAATAAGCATGGCCATCGTATACAACTTGGCTGGGCGGCGTGGCGCCGCACGGCCCTGCAGTTCCTCGGTAATGGACTGCGCCACGGCCTTGACTGTCTCATCCGAGGAGAACCTATCCCTCATGTGAACTCTGCCCACGGACTCCAGTACAGATAAAGCAGCCAGAAGCTCCCCAGGCACACTGAACCCACACTTCGAACGTTCCTCCAGAAAATCCGTAACGTCTGAGACGCGTGAGGGCCAGGCCAAACCTCTGACCGTCTCCAACCACATGCGGTAATGCTTAAAGGATCTTGCACGGTTCCTCAAGGTCTTGGCCCTCCGGGCTCCGAACACCCTGCGCCAGGCTTGCCGACGATCCTCTGAACCTTCAATCAAGGCGACTACAGGCAACTGGGCATCAATGATGTAAGTACTGAGCACTTCCACCCATCGCTCGCGCTCTCTGGACTCAAGAATGTCAGGATCATCCTCCACAGCAAGCAGAGACCTGCCCAAACCTGATTTCCCACGCTTCCGGGTAAAAGGTACCAGTGCATTCGCGGCAACTGCAAAAGTTTCCTGCGCTCTCGAAGAGTCAGATTGATGTACAGGCAGACGAGGCTTCTTGAACCCTGCATTCACCTGTGATTGCACAATTTTCCTCTTGACAGCCAATTGATTACGAAGTGCCTGCAGCCGTCCCCGCAGCAGTGCCGTCTGCAAAATATCATTTCCAGAAATGACTCCAAGCACATCTTCGAAGCCCTCTGGACTCTCAAGCAGCTCTAATGCAACCAATGGCTGGGAATACTTCGAACGCAATCGCTCAACCCATTCGGCAGGGAACACATTCCAGCAGGCCTGACCTCTGCCGGCTTCCGCAGAAGCTGTGGCCATGGAGCTACCCCATGGTCGCGCCCCCACCGACTAAAACTTCTAAGCTCCCTCCTCCGGAGCCTCTATTTCACGGATATAATCGAATCAGTCATCAGAGCACTAAAGCAGTGCAAGTCAACATGAGAAAGTATGTAAACCTACAGCAATCTCATGAAAGAAACGTGCGGAAAATCGGAAAGGAAATCGTATTGATAAAATCAATTAAAACTTTCTTTTGGGGCCCACCCTCCTCCCTTTTGCATCCTACAAACCCCTTTGGGCAAGCCCAAGAAGCAAGTCTGCACGTAGAGTGGAGTAAGTTCCATGCCAAATGTTTGTGGCGAAAACGGTTATTTTTCCTCATGCCCGATTTAGCGCCAGTTTCACTGCGTATCTCCGTGGTCAAACGTGGGCTTAAAGAAAGATTCCGAAGCTTGCACCGTGCTGTAACAAGAATACTGGTTTGAGGGTTTAAACTTTTACAGAGGCAGGGGCACGCGTCGCACCTCTCCGTCCATTGCAAGCGCGCACCAAAGGCTTACGGCAGGTAGCACAAGGCCTGAGGTCTACGGGCACACTTGTCATTGCGGCTCCCTTCCGTTGGTGGGGCATTGTGGCGGCCTTGGAGCTTCATACCGAGCTCCATCAGACCGTTACCAGTTGGGGGCCTCTATCGAACCCACGGCTGGCTTGTTTTGGAGCGCAGCACCTGCAACGTGAGGATAAGGATACGGCCGCGGAATTTTACCAGCGTTGGTCGGTCTGTGCCGCCACTATGTAATGCTTGCGTACTGATAGCCTGCTCGAGTGCTCCCATTTTACCCGGTGCTAGACACCAAAAACCTTATCTGTTCCCTTCACCTTGGGACTCTTTTCTCGAAAGTTTTTACACGTGGACGCACTTCCAGACAATCTGCTCACAGGCATCTTCTGCAGTGATTTTACAGGGTCGGCTCTCTTCAGCCTACGCTCGCACCGCTATATCTTTTGTACCCACGTTTATCTTCTTGAATTCGTTGTTCTTCGCTGACTTGGAACCCTTTGTGGCACCATCTTTGCGGTGATGTCACGTACACAAAGATCAACCAAAAACCTTATCTGCGGTTTTCTGGAGTTTACGAACCCCGCTTTAGCCTCCATCGCCTTCGTGCACACAGAGATGGATGGGATCGAAGCCGCCCCAGCGAGCTTATGCCGCCTTCCGTTCCACACATCATCGGTCTTCAATCGGGGCGCACATCGCGATCGACACGCAAACGACTGTATGTCGGGGTCGGAACAAGACGGCAGAGGTGCTGGTTGCCTCTGTTCCTGGCGTATTCTACAAAAGTCTGGCCTGCCTCCTGCTCTTCTCCCATCATTCGCCACCACCAGCGCCTGCTCTTTGCAACACAGAGGGCTTCGCATCGCCCGATCCAGAAGACGGTGTCCCTACTGCCAAAGTTGCGCCGCTTCTGTCTCCAAAGCTTCTGACATTGCCTGGAGCCAGCGGGTATACCCTACAGGAGGCTGTTGACATCCCGCCCGATCGTCTGGTGCCAGGGAAGATGCTATTCCCAGCAAGTGCGTTCCGCCGGAGAAAGAAAATGACTTCGGAGAACAACATGCTACTTCCCTGAACGCCTGTGGCGCTACGCCCACTTCGATGCATTGGACAGTCAAGTTAGTGGACAAGCGTCCAATCAGGGCGGTTTGCCTAATGGTAATCAACCCCCCTATCGTCTTGGGCACACGTGGAGACAAGAAGAGTGGCGGACTGCGGCCCATGCCTTCATCGAACAAGGGGGTCTTGGTCCAGGCATCCAACTCCCGTTCATTTTCCAAGGAGCTTATGCCGCATCTTCATGAGCCGGACCTCGATACCCTCCAGTACGGCTTCAACCGCCTCAAATCATTGTATGATGCGGGCCAGTATCAATTGCTGTACCTCCTGCGGGAATCCCACTTTCCACGCAGTGGCAATGACATGCAGCGCCTACTTGACCAATGGCCTCCTACCTAGGAGGCTTTAACCTAAGCCTCATTCGTTAGTTTCCGAGGGACCTCTAGGGAACCTTCGGGGCCTCTGGGCCTCTCGCACACAGCACTCAAACAGAGCGGGCACGCTCCACACTTTTCACTCTGCTGTTCTTCAGCAGTCCGAGTCTTGAGCCAAGCCCGGCACGGCTTGAGGCTTCAGTACACAGCTCTCTGGACTTCAAACACTTCACAGCTCGTGAGCACTAACAGCGAACTTGGGCTTCAGCTCTCTAAACACTAGAACTGGCTCCTGATGCCTCTTAGGCATCACGCTGTAGCTCTGGCGAAAGCAAACAGGCTTGAGACTCTTCACAAACACTCCAAGCGTCCGCAAAGCTCACTCTGAGGTTCGGGCGGGACGACCGACAGGCGGACCGACCGACCGACCAACAAACCGACAAAACAAGGTTTCGAAAACATGCGAAATGGTTTCGTTCCAAGCTTCCACCATGCCAAAACAAATCGTACTCACATGACATGCAAAACAAGACTGTGCAAGATTTTCCAAGGCAAGTCCAAGTGCTTCAAATCAACAACTGGGAACCTTAGGAGGTCACACAAATCAACTCCCCCTCTTGACCGTAAGGTTCCTAGACCCGGTCCTGTCCTCCTTTCGAAGACCACGCCACAGACAAAGTCCTGTGCGTTCGTTCCTCAGTCTGCGCGTCCAGGAGCAGAGGCGGTCCTAAAAGACCCCGTGGCACAGCTCTTCAAGCGTACCTGCCGGCTTGTGAATTCATCCGAGTCGTAGCGTGGCCAAAGCAGTCTCTGCGAAGGCTCTCGGATAGTGTTGCGTAGCTTTAAGGTCAAACGTTTGTGAATGCTCGTGGCTACCATCACATGCAAAGTTTCGAGACATGTGTTGAATAAAATCCGCATCGTTGGAAACAAGCTTCCATGTTTTCTTCACCAAAAGATTATCTTGACCTACCATGCCTGCCATGCACCCATGCACAAGCGCATCGTGGTGGCTTCTGCTCCGCAGGAAGCTCTTTGTAGACTGCCAGCCCCAATAGCTGCATCTCTGTGGCCACTCGATCACCCAGACACTCACTTGTGGGTGTTCAGTTTCAACCACGATTTCCAAAGCTTTCTGTGCACTGTGATCTTGGTGTTGGGGGTTGTGGTGCAAGTGTTTTCTTTGCCAAGGGCTACCCCCGGTACAAGGCGTGCTGCTCCAAAGAACAACCTTCATTCCCCAGCTCCTGGCAACATCCATGGCTGACATGAGCCGCTCCACGGTCTCAGGTGAAGTCCCATCTACTTCCACAGTCACCGGCAGAACAAAGACAGAGTAGTCACACCCCGCGGTCACAAAGCTAGATTGCGGATCAGTACAAAACTCAATGAATAGGGTTCCGTACGAGGTTGGGAGCTCACAGAGGCCCAAGAACCTTTCCCACTCAAGTTCTGTGTTGTCAAAGATTGAATTCAACAGCCCTGTAAGGAACACACACGAGCGAACCACCGGCACAGCACAAAGGTCAACCTGGTGGACGTCTTCCAATCCTAAGGTCGTTGTGTGTTTCAAGGTTTGGGGCCTGTTGAGGTTCTTGGTGAGGAGATCACTGACGTTCTCTTCTCCGGCAACCCCGTTAATCACCAACTCGTTCTGATGCACCCTATCCTGAATAAAACTTTTCACTTTCCAACGCTGGGCTTCGAAAAGTCCTTCGCGAACCCGCCGATGGACCACAGTGGGTCATCGCGAGAGGTGCCGCACTTTGTGCAGCAGAACACTAACTTGTACCTGGGGTACGCAGAACTACGAGCTACGGCAGAAGCTAGAGGCGCGACACTACGGGCTACGGCTGCAGCTACGGCACCACGGCAAAACTGCAGTGCAGAAGCACTTGGGGACTGCAAGTCACACACGAGTGACGCGGAACCACTTGCACTCGCGACAACGCAACAGCTGTCCCCTAAGGAGATGGCACCGAGCGTGGCTCTTTGGTATAGCAAAGAAGGTAAGCATTCGCATATATCTCAGCAAGTTCGGCGGGTTTGGCAAGCTTAGCAACACGGTTGTCGTCAGTGTAGAAAACCTTACGCGCCATATCCTCAAACAGAGCCGCTCTGTAATGGCCAGTTGCCATTCGGGGGCCAATGTGGACGATGGCCGCTCGTAAGTGGTACTTAGAAACCCTAGTGGAGTGGCCCGAAAAGTAAGGAACCTTCAAGACGGGGTCGAGAGTAACAGGCTCTAAAACCTTCTGGGCATCGGCATCGTCAACATCAAACCGTGCAAGCTGGAGGATCAGGCATTCTGGCGTCTGCAGCAGAGCATGCGCCGGGGCCTGAGTGTGCCACAAATCGACAAGCTGTTGGACAGATAAGTGGCTTAACAGAGGCGCGGTCAAAAGAAGTGGACAGGTGTCTCCCGAATCCCGCACCTGATCATGGGAATCGCGGGCTTGCCACAGTCCTTGAAGTGCAGGAGTCTGCATGCGCGCCTGAAGGTGTTGCACAAACTCAGCAGCATCGTGCTGCTCTCGAGGATTCCTCCAATCAGCGAGGAGCTGTTGCCAACCAAGCAGGCTCCACAGGCCAAAAGGTTGCCGTCCTAGTACGCAAGCCTCCAAAGCGATGAACACATTTCTCGGAATCACCGCCTGAGTGCATGCACGACTGCACCAAAGCAAGGCTGCAAGTGAGGCGTTCGCATAGCAGAGGTTTGAGCCGTTAGTGAGGCGCATCCTCAGCTGGACTACGTCGTCGACCTTGCGGCTAAGTCTGAAGGAAGTGCTCACTGGGGTAACAGCTGGAACCGAGGGAGAGCTTAGGGTTAAGGCAGGGGCGGCGCAGGCAGGTACTTGTAGATCTGCTGGGCAAGAGGGGACCTCGTCAATCTTTCGGGTTTGATGGACATGCCGATCACCTGACAGCAGCCGCTGCCGCAGAGCTCCGCGAGGGAGGCATGCATTTGATCGCTCGGTGTGGAGCGATTGGACACCGACGCCAGGAAGGTGATCGATGGGCGCTTGAGTTCCGACGCCAGAGGCCTGGTGGGGGCGAACCGAGTCAGCAGCTGGGAGTCCGTGGCCAGACGGATCACGTTCTCCACCAGCTCGATCGCCGCCGTCGCCGTCAAAGGTGGGCGAGTGGTGTCCGGGACCAGCTTGGCCTGATCCGGGTCCCACCGAAGGAAGTTCCACTTGCCCTCGTCGGTGAGAAAGCCAAGCTTCTTCATGTTGGTTTGGATCTCCTGTGTCATGCGAGCCGGTTGCAGTCGCTGCAGAAATTCGCGCCAAACGCACATCCACAGGGTGAGCCGCAGCGGGGATGCGGGAGGAGTTCTTTCCCGATCGGCCTTCCACTTGGTCGCCACCGCAAACAGGGCCTCCGGGACTCCGCCCGGCAAGCCGGTGCGCATCCAGATGACGAAGGATGCGTCCAGCATGAGGGTCTTGATCGAGTCCTCGTGCCGTACCATCAGGCGAATCATCATGTGGCACAGGGTCCAAAGCTGGGCGACTTCCTCGTCCTTTGTCTGACTGCTGTTGGCACTGCCTTTGCCCTTGCCTCCGCCCTTTTTGCCCTTTCCTTTGCCTTTGCCCTGCCTGGGGTCTGTCTTCTGAAGCTTGCTTGGGGGTTCTAGCGGTCGCTTGGGCGTCGTCGAGGGCGCCGTCATCATGGCTGTGTTCATGAACGCCGTGTAAAGCTCCCACTCTCTCTCCTCCTCTTGGTCGTGAGTCAACTTCTGGCCCACGTCCATCGTCATGGCTTGGACTAGGGAGTAAATCGGGATCAAGACTAGAGAAGACCGACTGCCAAATGACCGTCCAACCCTCAGCATGCCGACATGGAGCACATCGGTAAGCTTGTGAACAGAACTGACATGGACGTTGTACCTGAACAGCTTTTGCCTCCTTCACAGCTTGATTCAACCTATCCACAGCCGAAGGATGTTTGGCACGAATGTGGATCTTGATGCGACTGCCGTCGTTCGCCCATAAATTGCAAACTGGGCAGTTGTGAGCCATGCGAGCATGCAGTTCGGCCTTAGAGGCAATGTTTTGCCAGCGCCTGAGATGTTCCCTGGGCTCCGCTCTCAGGCAGGGCTCGTCAAGCAGCCTGGCAGCAAAAGGTGTAGGGGGAGGGGGGGGTGGAGGTGCAGTCTCCGGGGGCACAACAGGTGCGCATTCACTGAGGGTCTCACAAGCTGGCACGGCCGTTGTGGGTGCAGAAGATGGAGCCTCTTCCCGGTCCGAAGACCCCAGCAGAAGAGGTTGTGCAGCATTGAGCCGCTTGGGCACACAACTATCAAACTGAATGTGCAAGTTAAAATTTCTCCACAGCTACGGAGCCTTGGAATTTCACAGCATTACCCACCGGTACCATCGGGCGGGGCAGCTTTTCTCCAGGCTTCGACAAGTGCTCAGCGCCAGACACAATCTCAGCCGCCACACCAGGCGGCGATTGTGGATGTCGACGGTTTGGCCATGCCTGAAATACGGGATCACAGCACTGCAGCTTGAAATGTTAAAGAACGGGCTTCACTAAGGGTTCCTACCCACAAAGACTGTCGGACACTTTTGTTCCTGGGCACGGTGTGTCCTGGGGTCTCGAGCCTGCACGTCGCGTGTGCGTGACGGCTGTTCCTGTACATTAACTGTACTGCACTAGCTGTGTTACTGTTCCTGGCAGAATGTTTAACACCCCGCCTTCGGAGTTAGCGAAAGTTCCTCGACTGAGGTGACTCCGACTTTTCCTTGACAAACAGTAAACACACTGCAGTTCCTTTTCACTTGCAAAACAAACACTGTTCCTCATCGCAAACGTATGCGCACGTTCACTCGCAATCCTCTCCAAGGTTGCTCGACTGTACAAAAGACGTTCCTGCACTTTACCTAGATCACCACAGAAACAAAAAGGGCTGTGCCACGGTTCCTGTGTCCTGCTGCTTCTTTCCTCGGCTCTCTGGCCTCAGTACTGCTCGTGGTTCCTTTGCTTCACTGGAAGGTTACTTCGCCTTCCTCTTCGCTGTCTTTAGCTTCCTTCTGGTCTTGAAGCTGTTCCTTTAGCCACTCTTCTTTCATCTTTGCTTGCGCTTTGCACTTTTCTTTTCCTTGCTTGTCCTTTGACGCTGCTTTCCAACCTGTTTCCTTTGATCCTGAATACCAGTACCACTGTGTCTTGGCTTCGTTCCACTTCCACTGGTATTTCCTGTTCTGGAAACTGTAGACTGCAAACCAGTTTCCTTCAAACTCTCCTTTTCCTTTTCCTTTCATGAACGATGCTTCGTTCACTGGTCCTTTGGCGGACAGTTCTGGGTCGTCCTTGTCTTCTTCCTTCTGCTTGTGCTGTGTGACGTTCGGTGGCTCCTTTCCTGCTGCTTTTCCTGTTCCTTTTCCTTCTGGCTTCTCCTCTTCCTTTGCTGGTGTTGTGTCTGGTTCTGTGGGTGCCTGCGACCCGGCTGCCGATCCTCTGCTTTCAAGCTCCTGTGTAAGGCTTGCAATCCTTTCTTTATCCTCTTTGCGTTCCTTCATCATCTCCTTCATCATTTCTTCAAGCTTCTGGATCCTGTCTGCTTCACCTGATCCTGTTGCTGTTGTTGCTGCTGCCTTCTTTTCTGCTTCCTTCTTGGCAATGTACGCTGACGATGCCTTTTGATCTTCCTCTCTTTTCTTCCTGGCTTCCTTCTCCTTTCTTTTCTTCTCCTGCTCCTTTCTTTCCTTCTCCTCTTTGGCTGCTGCTTCTACCTCTCGCCTTCTCTCGGCGGCTGCGGCTGCTTCCTGCCTTGCTGCTTCCTTGTCTCTCTTCTCCTGCTCTTCTGCTGCTGCTTCCAGAATCAACCTTGCTTTGGCAATCTGCTCCTCTTTTGCCTTCTTCTCCTCTTCTGCTTTTGCTTTTGCTTCTTTCTGTTCCCTTTGAGATCCTGTCCTGTTCTTCCCAGTATTTGCGATCATCTTCATCTCGAGGTCGAAATCCTGTGCTTTCTGCTCTTGCCTTTGGCTTTCCTTTTCCTTTTCCTTCCTTCTTTCCTTTCGTTCCTTTCTCGTGCTTGTACGTGTAGTCCTTGTCGACCCACTGCTTTTCTCCTGTAACTCTGTGTTGCCTGTAGATCTCGCCGTTCTCGGAGTATTCCTTCCACTCGCTGGCGTAGTCGTAGGGGTACGGAAAGAGCTTCTTCTCCTCTTCCTTTTCCTTGAGCCTTTGCTTGCTTTTGGCGTTGATCTCCGCGATCTTCTTCTTTCTTCTCTCCTCCTTTGCTTCCTCACTTTCTTCTTCCTCTGCTGCTGCTGTTCCTTCTCCTTCCTCTGCTCTGCCTTCATCGGGGTACTCCCCGGGATCTTCTCCTCCAACGTAGCTGTGGACGTAGGCCTCGTTCTCGTTCTCGTTGTCCTGCTCTCGTTCCTGGATGCCCTCGAAGTAGCCTCGGTCCGAATATTCTTTCCTTTCCTGGGACGTAGGTGACGTAGCTCTCGACGGTGCTGTTCCTGGTCCGTGTCCTTCACGACGTAGTTCACCTTCTAGTTCTCGGTCCTTGGTTTCTCTTTTCCTTTGTTCCTCTTCGTCTTCTTCTTCTTCTTGTTCCTCTTGCTGCTGCTCGTAGAAGTCCTGCATCATCTGGTTCAGCTGTTCCTTTACGGCATCACATGTACCTAGGACGAAGGCCATGTGTTCCTTGACCTGTTGTCGGTCTCTGTCGTTCTGTTCGGCCATTTCCTGAACCTGGTGCTTGACGTCGTAGATTTGTCCTGTCAAGGACTCCACACAACCAGCCACATGTTCCTGGGATCGGCGCAAACGCGCCGCTTCCTCTGTGTTCTTCCTGATCGACTCTGCGATCACGTTCCTTTCTTCACTAGCGTTCCTTAAGGCTGTGGCCGCTTCCTTCAAAGTTTCCAGTTCCTTGAAAACTTCCTCTGTGTTCTTGCTCGAACTCGCGCTCGGTTCCATGGCAGCTAAGGTTCCTTGTAAGGTTCCTTGACCTTCTGCTACTGGGCGAACTAGTTCCTGGATACCTGAGCGTTCCGCGAGTGTTCCGCAGAGTTCCTTGAGCTGCGAAAGCATCTCACGACATGCTGTTCCATGCGCTGTTCCTGCAGACGTTCCTAGCTCACATGCACTCGTGTCACTGCACATGCCGTCCTGCTCACATGCACTTGCACAACAGAAAACATGTTCCTGAAACTCTGGCTGAAACTCTTCTTCCTGAACACAACTCTCAAAACACTGTTCCTTGAAACTCTGAATCTGAAGACTGTCTGAAATACCTGAAATTCCCGCAAACAACAAAGCTGCAAAAGACAAAGTTCCTGGGCTCTTGATCATTCTTACAACTGCTTTAGCTTGTGTTTGGGCCTTGTGTTCCTTGAGCTCTTCTCTACCTACTGGTTCGTTCTCGCTGGTTTGAAAACCTAGCCAGTGTAACAACAGTCTGATACGTTTCGCTGAAAGGGGCTTGGTACCTATGTCGGCTGTGTTCTCCTTGGTTCCTACTGGGTGAACACTAATTGTTCCTTCTTTGTGGAGGTCTTGAAGAAAAAGGGTCCTGATCTGCAAATGCTTGACTCTTCCTACACCTTGCCTTGTAATAATTCCTCTAGCTGCAGAAGAATCCATGTACAAGTGTACCTTGCATTGTTTCCTGGTCAAGAATTCTACTGCTTCCTTCAACAATATAGAATCTGACGCTGCTGACGCTCCTGCGTAGTACTCTGCTTCACCACTGCTCAAGCTAACCGACTTCTGGTTCCTAGAAAAGGAGTAAATGCACTGACCGTCTAGGCAAACAATTCCTGAAGATGTTGAGCGCCTTGTGTCCTTCTTTCCTGCCCAATCTGAATCGCTGAAGACTTCCAAAAGGTGGTATTCCTTGGGCCTTGTTCCTGTAAAGTCGTAGTTACCATTCCTGATGGATTCCTGGAGATTACTCAGTCCTCTAGGCGTTTTCCTGTACACTAAATGGTATCCTTCAGTTCTCGACATGTACTGCACTAGGTGGACTAAGTGTTTCCAAGAACCGTGTGTTGGTTCTGACATCTTGGAGGCCAAACCTCTCACGGCAAACTGCACGTCAGGGCGGTCCTGACTGACATACAAGAGTATGCCAACGCTTTTCCTGAACGATGCTGCTTGTTCCTGGTTCAAGGTCTGAGTGTTGTCCTGTTCCTGCGACTCTTGGGTGCACGGAGTTGGCTTTGAGGCTTTGCTAGTAAGCTTCAGTTCTTCCTTAAGCTTCACAAGATACTTCGGGTCACTCGTGATGTGGAGCTCGTGATTGTGGTAGCTGAATTTCCTTTTAAGGAATCGGATTGTCTGGTGTGACTCTCCTACCTCAAGTTCCTGCTCTGTCAAGAAGGGGCCTTCAACCTTTAGCTCGTAGGTTTCTCCTAGCTTTCCTAGCTTGGGCTCTAGGTGCCTTGTTTTCCCTGCTGCCTGAATGTCATCTACATGCACAACAAGTATGCTGTTCCTGTCATCACGAAACAAAGTAGGGCAAGCTTTGCTCCTATCAAAGTTCTGCTCTTTGAGGGTTCCTGCAAAATGATCGCTCCATAGTAGTGCTGCATCTCGCTGTCCTGGAAGTACTCTCAGCAGTAACAAACCTTCGTTCCTACAACTAGGGTCCTGGTCGCCAAACAGATCCACATATTCCTTCGGGAATTGACATGCACATCGAGTCCTTTGTGGTACCTGCAAGAATGCGTCCTTGACATCAATGGAGTACAGGGCATGTTCCTGTTGTAATCCCAAGATAGGGATAAGTCTCAC